TGTAGTCTGTGAATGATGACCTTCAATTCCAGCATGCCTAACAATTAGTTGGAATTTCACCGGAAATGACTCCAGGGTGGAGTTCTCCAACCAGACTGTGCTTTTCCAGGTTTGTTTTATTTGTTTTTTGTGGGTTAGTTTACTGGCGCTACCCAGTACTGGGCCCTAATATGAATTAAAGGATGCTTATCTGCCAGTGATAAAAAAACAGACAGTCGATGCCCTAAATAAGGTCCACTTGCTTTGTAATTGATTTCAGTAATGGACGAGTTAGCGGGGAGTGAGTTACAAAGAGGAGTTGCAAGCGCGGGACGCGGGATACCAGAGACAAACGACGAGAGCACAGGAAAACGTGCAACATGGCAGACACGCCGCACACAGAAGGCTAACCCATCCATCGCTTGGGGGGGGGGGCGTTTTGTGGTGAGTGCGATACCGTGGCGACAAACGGTCTCAACGCCCTCAATACATGAAAACCGTGTAGCCCTTGCTGTTGCGGATCAGGCTACATATACAAGAAAGTGATCCTACCCATCGGGAGTACGAACCGTAACTGGGCTAAATATAAGCCTGCCCTGTGCGGCTCAGCTAAGAGCTATTGAATCGTTGTTACTCCTAAAATTTGAGTGGAGGCCACCATATTGAAGCAATTCTTTTCAGGAGAAATTATTCGAATGGCGAGATTGTGTTGTAAACTATACGGATTACAATGACGATTTATTCGAAAACGGAACCATATGCGGATATTGTAAGACACAATTCAACAACTTATTTTCCTTCTACTGGGACATCTATGTCAAACCAGGAGTTGAATTCTGTGTGGATGTTGAAACCACGGTATGTTACCGGTTCTCCGCGTATACTTCTTCTTAGCTATACTGGTGGCGCGTGCAATCGCAATCACTGTGACGAGGCATGGAATGAGCATACGTGTGGTTTTTTCAACTGCTGCTATTGTTTTTTTAACCAAATACCACGAGAACCACTCACTGAAACCACCCGGAGGGAGGACTCATTTCCCATCCCCTGACACCACCCCTACACATTGCGGCGGTACCAACTATACATGCATGTGGATAGGAAAAGAATGAGTGATTGGAGACGAATGCATTGTTCTCAAAGAAAAATACCCCCCTCCCCTCCCCATGCTACCTACCACTTTCCTAGATTTTCCCAACTTCCTACCACTTTTTCCATTTTTTCCCGAAAATTTCCAGTTTTTCAGCCAAGAATTTTCCGTCGAGCGGGAGGGGGGAGAGAGGTCGTCAGGATTTAACTATCATTTTCAACTATCGGAAATAGTAGTTGTATCTTTGGCAGTCCCTCTCTCAACAACGGCCAAATACGACCCCCCCCCCCTTTTATAGCCGTCCGTGAAACAAGAGAAATCAACTACCAAAAAAATTTTTCTCAGACCAAATACGACCCTCCCACTCCCTCGCGGTCAAATGCGACCCTCACAACGATGGCGTGCCCTGGCGTGGGTACCGCAAATGGTGACCAGGATGGTTCATTCGAAATTACACCGGTTCAGGAGATCGGTGGATACCGATATTAATTGAAGACCTAGGGTCGAGTAACGAGTCTTCGACAGAACCTATGCGCACCGGATCAAAGAAACGTTGATCTCGTGGGAGTTACCAGATGGCGAAGACCAGGAGGTGTTCGAAAAAATTGAGCGGAAGAATTCCTAAACGAAGTAGGAACTACAAAGGGGGGTAGCTGTAGGTGAAGCTCAATGAGGAACGTTAAAGATTACAGTTAGGAATGGAAGGCGCTGCCTGCGAAATGAGGCAGTGCGCAGCCGAAGAATAACTGGATAGGTTATTAGCAACAGAAGAAGTGAAGAAACAAAAACTATACCGCCCCGGCTCTATAAAAAAGGTACGGAGAGGTAGGAGTCTTCAGTTCTGTTTGCTGTGCCGTTCTCAGTAGCAAGGGGGAGAGGAAGAGGGACGGGGAAGCAGCTTGAGAGCGGGTGGCAGTCATCTTGAGCGGGAGTCAGAAAATTGCACGCGATTTGAAGAGATTAAGCTTCAAGTTGTCCGCATAGGCCGAGACGACAGTCCAAGACCCTTATAGACGAAATTTTATTTTTACACAACCTTTTTCCTGAGAGAAAGAAACCTTCAATTGTCGTCCCTTCGTACACCACGATCCTTAATTCCGGACTCAAAGCCTGGCAAGGGCTGAGGCAGTGGGAAGGCGAGGACGCTCGGTTCTCAATCGCTTGCCAGCATCCATTCCTGGCTAAACGATTTTCATTCCTTCGGGGTAGTTTAAGTGAGATTAGAACATACTCCCAAGAAAAGACGAAAAATCCTCTATACAAAGTGCCTCAGTTGTATTTTATTGGGTTGTCCGGAAAGTTTCTCAGCGTTTCGAGTGTTTCACTTTAAACGATCATAACTCTCTTATTACTCATCGGATTTAATCCGAATTAAACACCATTCGAATCAGCACACTACTTTTGCCAGTGTGAAGACAGTCTGAGAAATCCCACCCAAAGAAAAAAAGGAACGTGAGGCGCCGAGACAGGGTGGTGAGAATCCAGCGAAATCTCACGAGGCGTTTTTCGGGCATGGCCCTAACTGTATGAAGTATTTTCGCGGCTTAAGGAATTGGCTGAACAATGTCTTGGGAAAAGCGTGAAAAGTCACGCGTTGGTTGAAAGCGTCTTTGAATAAGGCGCGTGAGGTAGAACTTCAACACCTTCACATTTGATGCTGATAGTGATTTGTGAAAACGTAGTTGGCCGGCGCGTTGTCATGCGAAAGAACTCGACGGCCTTTGCTGGTGACGAAGTGCTGGCTGCAGCTAACGCAGAGTTTTCACGGGTGATATATTTCCAGGTCGGATGTCCTTCACAGTACGGGTCTGCGTTGTGAGGTGGGTTTAGCCTTGGCTGATAAAAAGTTGTAGTGGAATCACATCCAGCGATGACCATCGAAGCCGGTAGGCCTACATCCTTTTTTTCGTGACGGGTTCGGCCTTTTGAACAATTACCTCGGTATTTGGTCTGCAGTCGGCCGTCCAATAGCTATCGTGTCCGGGGAACGTTTCCTGTATATCATACCATGACTCCACTTTTCATCAACAGGTGACAGATTCCGTCTTCCCAACAAACGGGTGTTTATCCTGGTGTCGCCGCGAAAGCCAGTGACACGAAGAAACACCGAGACACGTGCCAATTTCTGCCGTCACTAAATTTGGGGGCACTTACCATTTGGTCACGATTTTTTAGCCTTCCCAGTGCCCAGAATGGAGTGCGTCTTCAGACCATGACGACAACAGTGGATTTGCCACAGCTAACCTATCTGCAAATCACTCAAACTGGTTTGGTATGGGGTCAGCCTCCAAAATCCCCCTAAAATCCTCGTCAGATATTGCTTCAGGTCGACCGCTATGAGGTTCAACTTAGACTGAAATCTCCAGAAAGAAATTTGTTGAACCATTGTCGCACGGTGCTTTCTCCTACACTATTGGGCCCCCATACCCTGGTTAATTTGTCGAGCTGTCTCGAGTGCGGAATGACCTAATTTTTAGTTGAAGAAAAATATCGTCCGAAGTTGCTCTTTTGACATGCATCAAAAAGTCTTGGGAAAAGGGGTTTATCAAGCAATGGTGAAACGGCAATTATACCATCAGATAGCGCAAAAATTCTCTTCAGGATGTACTACTGAGACGCAAGGGAGAATGAGTTTTTAATCAGCAATGAATGTACAAAAAATAGTAACACAAAACGCTGAGAACTTTCCGGACAGCCTAATATAAGTCACGTATGCATTAGAAATTCAGAATAGGTTCACAGCGCCTTTTCTAGCGAAGCCTCAAGCGATCGATGTTGAGCGAATTCCTGAATATTAGACGAAAATCAAATTTCAGATGAATGACACGATACATCTATGGAATGATGTGTGGAGATGCGCTGAGAGAAAGGACCGCAACCGAGACGTAGCTATGGTTTTCGTAACGATGGGAGTACTGCTGGTCCTCACTATTTTGTTTTATGCTAGCAGTTACATCCAAGGTGGTGGACAAAATAGGATTCTTATTAGATGTGAGTTTGATTTTCTTATGGACAGTAACCGTCCGATTTCTTTTTAGTGGTACGAAAAAACGAAACTTAAGTTATGAGCTAACTTCATTGCAAACACAGCTATTTATTAGCATCTTTCGCGAATCAAATCCAAGACACATTCCGCAGCAATCAGATGGGCGGAGTCTCATAAGTGTAGTATATTCTTCACTGGCCTGCCCATACGAGACTGAAAATTACTCATGACACGTAATGTTATATATGGTGTGTGAAGTCAAAACAGATAAGTGTTGCCACTAGAATGCTGAGTCATGGGCAAAAGTTTGATCCAGAGGCGAGGCTTGAACCTGCATTTCGGGCGATTGCGGTCCGCCACTAGGACCGCCCCTTACCCTCTCTCCGTGATGTCTTTTGTTCCGTAGCAGTTTTAGCCTTGACTAGTGGTACGACCCTCCCCCCCCCTCCCCCT